ACTTTTTTTTTATTCCTTTAAATATAACATTGTTCTTATATCTAAATTCTCTCAGTCCCAATAAGCGCAAGTTTACTTGTCTTGGAAACAGGTATCATGTTGAAACAGAAGCATAACAATAAGAAGTAGAAATAAGAAGGTGTTCCTTAATAGCAATGTAGTATTAGGTTATATAGTTTGGAAAAACCTCTTAATAACAATGTACTATCGGATCCCCTTAATACCAATGTATTACAATTTTTTTGACATGATGTTATGGATGAAATTGATTGTTTTTCTATATATTTGTTTCCATATTTTTGTATTACTCATAAACGAGTAAAGTAAAGATGCGTTGTAAATGTATATCGTAAATGGTTGCTGAAGTTTATGACATGCAAATGTGTGTCCATCTTTATTTATGACAGGGGCTTTAATGATACGCAATGCATGTCCTAAACATGCGTCGTAAGGTTACGACATGCAAATGTGTGTTGTCTTCCATTATGAGAGGGTCTTCCTTGATACGTATTGCACGTCGTAAATGCGCATCATAAATGCGTGTCGTAAATGCGTGTCATAAATGCATGTCGTCTATAGACGACGCACAAAAGCGTGTTGTGTCTCTTTATGACAGGGCCTTTATTGAAACACATTTGCGCGTCGTCTGAGCGTTTTACGACGTGCATTACGCGTCGTAAAAGGTTGTTTTTCTAGTAGTGTTTGAGACCCAATGGTTGTGAGAGGGTGAATATTAAATAATTGATTAAGACATAGGACAAAACTGACCAAGGGAGAATAATTCTAAATGCCACATATTTTATAATAGTCTTTACTCTCTCCATTATTCGGTAAAGATAATTTTTATTTTTAATTTATGTAATAAAATAAAATGGGTCATGGTTCAACCCATAGAATTATTTGCAAACTTGACTAGTATAATAAACAAATAGGTTGGTTGGTCAGAAAAAAATCATCCCAAACCTCTTTATTTTTGTGTAGGGTTCATTTCATACGAAATTAGATTTGGTTTTCCAACTAATTAATGATGAGCGAAATCCATTTCACCAGAAATCGGATTTGGTTGATTTCTATTTCCGATTTGGTCAATTTCTATATCTGATTTCACTTGTATTTTCATTGATTTCGCTATGTGTATATGTGTGTTTGTTTATTTCTGGAAATCAATATGTGTGTAGGAGTTCATCCCAGAAATCGATTTATATGTGGTGTTCCAACAAGATTCAAAAAATCAATTTGTACAACACTAAAAAATCACCCATTTCCCCTTTGATTTTGGGTTACAGACCTGAATAAGAAGAGAATTTAATGAGGAATATGAGAGTTGATAATAAGTAAGACGATCTGGTGGTGGATGTTATAGTGATGTTTGAAGCTACAGTGATTCTAGAGTGGTAGGATGGTGGGAATAGTGATGACGTAAAAGACAATAAACAGGAAAGGGTATGAGATGGAGAGATGGGGTCTGATTGATTTTCTTTCTCTAAAATCACCAGAACAAAAATCTATGTAATCTATAATGTTACAAGTATGAGAAGGTGGTAGGTTGTCGAACCATAAACCCAGTTACACAGAAGAGAAGATGAGGTTATCTATTGGTTGGAATTAAACCAAAAGGATCTATGGGAGGGAAGATGGTGATGATGGTGGACCAGGTGGAGATTTTTGGTGGTTAAGATGGTGATGAAGCTGGGTGATTTTGGTCTCCCTGAACACTAGTGAAGACGGCGATTAGGATTTTATTCTAGCTAGAGAAGATGAACTTGGGGTTGTGCCTAGTAAAAATGAAGTCATGCAGGAGAGAGAGAGAGAGAGAGAGAGAGAAAGAAAGAGAAAGAGAAAGAGAGAGAGAGAGAGAGAAAGAAAGAGAGAGAGAGAGAGAGAGAGAGAGAGAAAGAGAGAGGTGGGCCCCTCACATTTTTTAATTATTAAAATGAATAAATAAGTATAATTTTTTTTTTTTAAAAGTGAAAGAAAAATAGAAAATAAATACCCCAAGGTTATTAAATTCATTTCAGTTTACTGAGGGACCAAATCCACAAGAAAACTATCTCAAAAGGACCACCAATCCAAAAAAGTCATGGTTTGGACTAAAACCCCAAAAAATTGCACACTACATGGACCATTTTTGCAATTTTGTCTGATTTCATTTATATTTCCGCAATCTAACTCCTCTAATTTATTATTGTTGAGCCAACAAGATCCTTCGAGATTAACTTTTATTCAACAATCTATTATCTTGTAACAAGAATTTGTTCATGTTTTTCTGTGAACAGTGCGTTTACAATTTGTTGGGTGTTTCAGGTACTTCGGGGTCTAAGGGCAAGGGCCCGACTTGATGGCGCAGCATGCGATCTCCAGTATTTCCGTATTTTTTGTCTTGGATACTCTGATCTTTTATAAGTGATTCCATGTAAAGGGATTTTGGAAAATTAAAACTCGGCTGTAATATTTAAATAGTAAATGAATAATTTTACCTATATTTTTAGGCTCTTACAATCATGACCCTCAGTTTATTTACTGGAAGATTCTGGACAATGTTTTTCAAACAAATGCGAACGGAGTTAAACCTCTCTACTAGTTTTCATTCCCAAACCGACAAAGAGAGTGAATGTCCTACTTGAGCTATATTTGAGACACCATGTGAGTGCTAATTAAAGAGATTGGGTGAGGATTCTTGATATATCTCAATTCTCTTATAATATGCTAAGAACTGAAGCCATGATTCAAAGTCCCTTCAAGATTGTCATGGGTCAACAACCTTTAATCCCAAATTCTCTAATCGCAACTTATGAAGGAAGTAGCCCCTTTGCTTATAAGTCGACAAAGGAGTGGCATGAGCAAACAGTCATGGTTCGAACGACATTATACAAAGCAGCCAAGGAAATGATGAAATGGAAGGATGAGAATAGAAGGGATGTAGAATTCAAGGTTGGAGACCTGGTCATGGTGAAACTTCTGTCGCAACAACTCAAGACAGTGAGGAAAGTACATAAGGGCTTTGTGCGAAGATATGAAGGACCATTCGAAGTGACCAAGAGAGTGGGAAAAGTTTTATATCGACTTGAACTCCCACCCAAGCTGAAAATTCATCTGGTTTTCCACGTCAGCAAGCTCAAGCTGTACCACAAAGACTCAGAAGATCCCCAACGCGAGACATCAAGGCGTGCACCAACAATGGTTGTTATGTCTTTCAACTGTGATATTGACGAGATAGTTTCCGAACTGTACGAAATCGGGGAGTGTCAAGCTTCAAAGAATACTTAATCAAGTGGAGGAATTTACCCGATAGTGAGGCAAGTTGGGAGTCCGAAGACTTACTATGGCAATTTCAAAACTAGATCAAGAGATACCGGTATGCAAGCGTGACGAGGACATCACAAAAATAGGTGGGGAGATGTAATGACTTGCCATATTTAGATATTTTCTCTAATTATTTTTGTCTCTACAATAGTAATTTCTAGAAATAATCTAGAAGATATCTAGAAACTCCATGGAAGGCTCATGAAAATGCATCTTCTAGAAACATTCTAGAAGATCTCCCTTAGTTCCTAGTAGTTCTTGCCTCTTGTATATATAGGGCTCTCCCATTTCATTTCTCCTCACCTTGTAATTGAGTTGAGTTCTCTTGAGTAATAAAGATTCTTCGTGAGTTGAGTTACTTTCTTCTTTCCGTCGTTGTTGTGTTGGAGATTTGAGTTAGGCTGGCATAGTTCGAGAACTAAGTGTCACACGGAGAGCTTGAAGAGTCAAGTCCGTGACAGCATGGTGAGTTGTTGTCGATCGAAAGGTGGGGTTCAATGGCGGACTGACATAGGTCTACCACAACCCTCTCTTACTTGAATGAAAATGTGAAAATATTAGGGTAGAGAGGGAAATTTTTGTTAAGGATGGAAACGAAATTGTTGAAATTTTAGGCTTATGGAGGTAAATTTTTGATAAGGAGGGAACCAAAATGTTGAAATTTTAATAAATACAGAAAAAAAAAAAAAACATGATTTTAAAATACTTTTAGTTAAATGTTTGGTTGTTTTAATTAGTCACTAAAAAATATTTACATTCATATGTTTTATTAATAAATTAACCATCACAACATAAAAGTAGACACCAAACAAAAAACCGTCACAATTGATGACATTTTTGTGACACTTTTAGATAACATGTGACAGCCTTTTTTTAAATCGTTGCCATTGATCGTTTTTGTATTAGTGAGACGTCAAAAAACAAACATACTTCTTATTGTAGTTTACAGACATTTGATCAACATTTTTTGTCTGTTTAGGGTTGCAGATATGATCCGCAGACCACAAACATTTTAACTTCGAAAAACAAACAACACTTAACTTTCCAAAGTCGTATTTAGTTGTTCTTATCCATTTTGTGAGTTTAATTATAAGAGATACTCTGATTTTTGGCATTAACGAATATGATACAACTCCAGGAACATTTCTTATTCGTGATTATCTTAATTATGATGCGAAAATCTTTGTGAAGCTCAGGAATAAGGTAGAAATATTTTTCAAGGAAAGTTATAAACACAATTTGATCACTATCCAGGCAATCAAAATTTCAATATCCTCATGTGCCTCCACTAAAGTTGGCATCTCTTATGAACTGGAAGGCTGGAATGCAAATTAATGAATTATTAGAATACTCCCATGTGAATTTACACAATAAAAATTATCAAAAAATAGTTTATCGAAGCACATTATTAGAAATACTGTCATTGAATGAGACTGCCCTATAGGGATGATAAGGTTAGTGGACCAGTAGTTTGTGAATACTGAATCATTTAAACTTTTAATTCATGATTAAAATGCTATCTGCAAAAAAAACAACACAGATGTGGCGTCAATAATGCTGATCTTATGGTGCACACCAAACCTCATCTTTGCTATAAAAGAACGATGTCTTTAAAGTGGTTTTTGTGGGCACCACAGATCTGAACTTTAGAATAAAAGAATGAGTTCAAGATGCTTTTATTATATTTTGATGAATAAATGTCGTAGTAAATTCTTCAGGTAAATAACTTTTGTAATTAATATTCTTTACCTCATGAAACTTTTTTATATGTAGCGATCACTTTGGAATGATGTGATCTTATAGTGGCGTTGGTGGACCTCACAAATCAACTTCATTTCTCTTTCTATTTTAAATATGTAAGAAGCTTGAAGGAGTAGTATACACGGAAATCAAGAATAAAAGATAGAAAAAAAGATGGCAAGTTCAAGCTCTAATGAATATGTTACAGTGGAAGTTGGAGAAGAATACACATACCCATACCCATCAAATCTTTCTGCAGCCAGCTTTATTAGCGTGAAACTGAGTGGTAAGGATGAGTATCGTATGTGGAAAACACAGATGGTATGCCTCTTAAAGAGTCATGATATGTTTGGTTTTATAGATGGAACATTCGTAAGACCTGCTGAAGCCAGTAGTAGTAGTAGTGTTTCTGGAAAGGAGAAAGTGGGTGGTCATCAGACTCACTGGCTGTGGACACGATCAGATGCCCTTGTGAAGGGTTGGATTCTTGGCTCCCTCTCTAAAGAAACATTTGGGTATGTTCTGGAAGGTCTCACAGGAAAACTTCATCAAGAAGATTTCAGTGCAAAAGATGTTTGGGATGAACTGCAGATACTATATGCTCCTCATGCTTCTCCACAACTGCCTGTTGTTGAAGGTACAATCTATCTCTTGTTTGTTAATCTACCGTTTATTTGAGTTGGTGATTTAGATAAACTAAAGCATACCACTACTATTACAGTAAAATATATATATGTATATATAGCTTTTACTGTATTAATTAAAAAGTGGTGTCGACCAAGTACTTAGATTACACAAACAAGGTAAAACAGATAAAAAGTATACAAAACCCATACACGTGCAAAACACGTATTTTAATTATTTATTTATTATTATTATTAATTTTTTTGTAAACCCGCTTTAAAATCTCTAATGTTTAGATTAGAGATTAGATTATACATCAGAGCACATATTTTGTATCTTGTAGTTCTTTACCTTCATAACAAAATTATGCAAATATAGGTACAGAAGAAGATCAAGAGAGAGCATCTGATCTTGTGAAATTGAACAATGATATTCAACATGAAATTTGGAGTTGGGTCGAACATATATTGAATGTGGGAAGGGTGACAGTGATAGACAAAATCACGAATAATGGAAACACCGCGCTCCATGTAGCAGTGGGTACTTACAAGGACCGAGAATTCTTAGAGAATTTGTTGGAAAGGATACCCGAGAACACACAGCTAATGGATCTTAGAAATTCAGATGGAAGCACGCTACTTCATGTCGCTGCTATTATTGGCAACACTGAAGCTGCTGACATCTTGATGGCAAGGTACCCTGATTTGTTGTTGACGGAGGACAACGAGGGTCAGACACCACTAGCCTTGGCTCTTTCTAATATGCATAAGGAGACAGCCCGACATCTTTTGGAGCACATCAATTCTGATACACAGAAGGATGCTCTGTTTTCTGGCACAACTGGTGATGACCTTCTAGTTACTCTTATTTCCTCTAAAGATTTCTGTAAGTGTCGACTTTTAGTAAAAAAAAACTACCCACTTGTATAATTGATATGACTGACTTTGGAATATATATATATATATATATATATATATATATATATATATATATATATATATATATATATATATATATATATATATATATATCTATATAGGATATAGATCCGGTAAGAAATTTTTTTTGGTAGGAAGGTAAGAAGTTTTTTTTCTACATATTTTTTTTACGAACAAAATAAATGAATCACTAGATGATTCATTTCTAAGATGATTCACAAAAAAAAAATTCAAAAAAACATCTTTATGATTCATTTTTAAGTAAATTAAGAAAAAATTCATTTTTATGATAATTTTAGTGAATAACAACAAAATCATTGTATAAATGAATCATAAAGATGTTTTTTTGAGAATTTTTTTCTTGTGAATCATCTTAGAAATGAATCATCTAGTGATTCATTTATTTTGTTCGTCAAAAAAATATGTAGAAAAAAACTTCTTACCTTCCTACCAAAAATTTCCTTCTTATTTGATCTTGACTCTATATATATATATATATATATATATATATATATATATATATATATATATATATATATATATATATATATATATATATATATATATATATATATATATATATATGTAGGCTTTGCACAAGATCTGTTGGGTCATTACAAAACATTGCATACTGATGCTGTACTGATGGCTATAGCTAAAAATTTCCCAAGCAAAGTCAACCTATATGAAATATATGAAGGATATAGTGGTATGTTTGATTTTTTTATCTTGCTTGATCTTCTTATTCCTTTACATTCTCAAATTTTTTATAACGCTTCTCTACCCAACTTCTTGCACACCATTTTTTATATTGTATGGACTGATCAGACATAAATTACTTGATTGTGCAGCCCCCAGTTGCACAACCTGTTGCGATGCATTAGCTGACATATGTGCTCCATGGATTTTAAGTTATATAATCGTCCCTTTGCTTTTGGGTAGGTCATGGTCAGTTTACCTTTTCTTAAACTTTTAAGTTGTTGGTTGCACATTCTATAACAAACATTCCATCACGTAATGCAGCGATTCTCGTCATCCCTGTGTTTTTCGTGTTTATGCTTGGGATGTTAGGTAAGATGATCAGCAACTACCATCAATAATGTACTACTAAAAACAAAAGAGATAAAAAAAAGGATGATCTGCTTCTTTATTTGAGACGCTCATTTGGGTCTATGTTGCAGTGTGGGTATTCATTAAAGAGAGAGTTGAAACTCATGAAGGTGCTGTGAACCTGTTGTTGGGTGTATCTAGTTTGATAAAGGAAAATAAACACCCCAGCTCTTACCATCACTATTACACAAATCCAATTCTTGAAGCCACAAGACAAAATGCATACGAGTTTATACAAATAATTATTTGGAACTTCCCAAATGCAATTTTGAGTGCCACCGAAGATGGTCACAACATTATCCAGTATGCTGTATTAAATCGCTCAGAAAATGTTTACAACCTCCTTTATCAAATGAGCGAGCATCGGAATATATATCGAACAATCAGAGACTCTCATGGTAATAACCTGTTGCATCTAGCTGCAAGATTGGCACCTAACAACAAACTGAATCTTATATCGGGGGCAGCTTTACAGATACAAAGAGAACTGCAATGGTTTAAGGTAACCATATATGAATCTTGATGATTCAAAATCGACATACCTGATACTTAAAGACCATAACTATTTATGAAGCATGTGTAACAGTTAACACATTGTAATATTGTAGGAAGTGGAAAGATTCATTTGTCCTTTAAGCATCACACAAAAGAACTCTTTCAACGAAACACCACAAACTGTATTTACTAGAGAACACAAGGACTTGGTGGTTGAGGGAGAAAAATGGATGAAGTCCACTGCAGAGTCCTACACAATCACCGCTGCATTAATCATCACTATTGTATTTGCAGCGGCTATTACAGTGCCAGGAGGAAGCGATCAGAGCAACGGGATACCCATTTTTACTAATCGCACCGCCTTCACAGTATTTGCAATATCAGATGCCATATCATTATTCTCAGCCGTTACTTCATTGTTGATGTTTTTGTCAATCCTCACTGCGCGTTTTGCTGAACAAGACTTTCTCTACAAGTTGCCTAGAAAGTTGATAATTGGTTTGTCCACATTGTTCATCTCAACTACAGCCATGATAGTAGCTTTTGCTGCAACGTTATACCTTGTATTTGGCCAAAGCAACTCAAGGATTCTTATTCCAATAGCTGTCTTGACATGCCTGCCAATTACATCTTTTGTGACCCTCCAGTTCCCTCTCGTCCTAGATTTGATGAGTGCTACATATGGTCCTAGTATTTTCGGTAAGCAAGATATCTATCTTTTTTATTAATTCTGTTTATTGGATTATAGAATGGTGGACCAGAAAGAGGTGAAAAGTAGTCAAAAAAGCTGTAGTCATTTGACTTTTTAGTATTTAAGTAATTTGACATATTAAGATGGAGAAATATTGATTGGGTGACTCTGTTGGAATCAGGCCCTCACTCTTTTGAACACCGATCAAAACAGCAAGTTTGTATATATATATATATATATATATATATATATATATATATATATATATATTATATATATATATATATATATATTACGTACTTTCACAAAAAATCTGATTACCTCCTACTGAATACATTTACTATTGCTACCTATTTATAACAAATAAAACAATA